CAAAGCACAGACACTGATATGACCGACATATTAAAGGGTTTTTTTAAGAAACATGTGACCTTTGACCTTGAAGGTGAAAGTCAGTGTCCATCTCGCGGCCGGCAACCAGTGGCAGTGCCACTGTCTTCGGGTTATTTCATATGTTGTCTGAGACAACACTGTCTCATTCTTCCCGTGACAACGTCCGATTTAGACCCCTTCACAAATGCTGTGTCAATATGCATTCAGATTCCAAAACCGTTGTTCTATTCTTGTGTCGAACAACCAAGGGATGTAGGTGACGCTGGTGAAGGGGGTCGGGGGTTCGACCAGCAGACGACAGTTGGTGAAAAAACGGTGGGAAGATGCGGTGACCTTTTCATCACACGAGCAGACAAGAGAAGCAGACGATAGAAGCAGACGACACTGTAGTATTACTTGGCCAATATTGGTTAAGTGCGAGCTGAACTGACATGCATTCGGGACAAAACGTGGCGGCTGGCATTGTTTTAAACCTGCAAGCTATCCCTGATACTTAAACGATGACATTTATTGCCGATATTATGTTTGTTTTAGTGTAGTACTTGCTTACTAATGTCAACGATATTCAGCTTGTCAGAAATATGCACATTATTTTGACACTGCCACGTGTTGGGAGAAACGTTTCTAATTCACCCCGCCGACAAACCGGGCTATCCATCACTCCGCCAGAGTACAGGTCTGGGGGCATGGTTTTGCCGCCATCATGTCAGCGGTCACGCCAGTGTATAAAATACTGTCGGTGTGTTAGGAGAACGGTTGTGAAGTCCTATTATGAATGCAAAATGGTCGTCTTCCAACTTGGCACAAGATACGCATATATTTCTGGTTCTATGAGTTTTTACCTATTTTAAGAAATTAGCTTCTCATCTCATTAAGTACTAGACGTGAATGTTGTATTTGGCGCTCCTTGCAATATTTAAGCCGTGTTAAAGTGTTTGGCACCAGAAATGCTCTCCACACATTGAACACGTATTTGCAATTGAACCTGGTCAATGGTGTGACGATCCATTGCTTGAACCACCAGTTATAAGATATCCGGCCTTCATGTAATGATCATGAATGAGTGAGTGAGTTAGGTTTTACGCTGCTTTTTAGCAATATTCCAGCAATATCACGGTTGGGGACACCAGAAGTAGGACTCACATATTGTACCCATGTGGGGAATCGAACCCGGGTTTTCAGTGTTACCAGCAAACGTCTTAACCACTAGGCTACCCCATCGCCCCTCCAGTAATACAAAACCCAGGGTGCAACTACCCAAACATCTACTACTGCTGCTCTACTACTGGTGCTGCTACTACTACTACCACAACAACAACTACTACCGCTACTACTCTCGTTATTGCTTCAACTATCATTACCACTGTTTATGCTGCTGCTTCTTCTACTACTACTACTACTACTACTACTACTACTGCCACCTTAACACCTACCACACTACAACTACCCACCCCACCCCACCCCACCCCACCCTAAACGCTACAAATATGTCTACCTAATCTACTACAACTGCTTCCAACTACCCCCACTACAGGTTCTACGATCACTACTACAACTGCTTCACCGACAGCGACCAAGCATGTGTCAACATCTTAGCAACACTACAACGACTCAACATGCACCCCCGCACTGTGGTATATGTCTGTTCTAAACCGATATTATCTACAATCAGGCTATTCATTAATTCATGTAGCCATAACGACCACATACCACTGCTAGTCATGCGGGTATAGTCTATCACATCACAGCGCAGTATCCTTATCCTCTGACATTACATGGGGGGTGGGGTACCATAGAGGTTAAAGCCGTCAATCGTTGCGCTGAAGGTCCGGGTTCGATTCCCCACATGGGTACAATGTGTGAAGCCCATTTCTGGTGTCCCCCGCCGTGATATTGCTGGAATATTGCTGGAATATTGTTGGAATATTGCTAAAAGCGGCGTGAAACCATACTCAGTCAGTCTGACATTACAGATTATACCCGGATGGTCATAATCTGCACACGACCCCTATACACACAGATGACATCTGCACCCAAAGGTAAATCTGCACATGCGCACAAACAACCCCACCAAGTGCAGCCATCTTTGTCAAAGCCCCACTTTAATTATCCGTTGATTTATCGGCCAAGTGGACAGTGTAATGAGGAAGTGGACCAACCACCACGGGCGACCGGCTCTGATATATTATACCTGCCCCAAGACTTACGATGTGTACTTTATAAACAGTCTCAGTGACTGGGCTTTGAAACAAAACAACATCACCAGGCATTGTCTGGGAAATGACTATATAATGAGGCGGATGGGACATATACTCTAACTTTTTCGCAATCCGTTAAAGTGTTATACATCTCCCACATATTTTACGACGAGCTGTCGAGTTGAATCTGAGTCGCTTATTTTTGTTGTTGCTTTGTTTACGTATCCGACATTAAAATTTTGAAACAATTCCAGGTTAATGTTTTGGGATTTATATTATAACAGCAGAGTCTTAGAATCTCACAACACCAGATAATGCTCAACTTAGCCTGACCACGACAAGTGATCAGGACCACTGATGAGGATGACGTCGCTCAAATGTAGCCATGGCGGATGTTATTCATAGCCTCCTTGGTACTCTAACATGAGGGGGCGTGTTACCTGAATCACAAGACACCATTCGACATTCCTTAGCATATCACAATAAAATCACGTGACAAATAGATAAAAAATATATTTTTTCATTCCAACGAACTTTACATCAAACATACAAAATTAATGTTGGTCTGATTCTATTTCGCCCACAGACCCGAAAGCTTTGACGGAAATGCGCAAAACCAACTTATAAACAAAAAGAGACACAGCCACATAGCGAATAGTGACAGGGCGGATAGCTCTTTCTTCATAGGTAGAGGCTGTGAGGTAACAATATAAGATGACCGTAATTAAGTGTAATCTGTTCAGACCTGTCCAGTCTTGACCAGGTGTGTCCCGAGGTCAAACACAGACGCTGTGAAACCACAACCTGGTCAAGACACCGTGATTGATCTGCAGGTAGTGGACACTCGATACCTCAGCCAACACCTTCATGTAATACAGACATGTGACCATGACAAGCCCTCGGGGGGTCGGGGATGGGGTATGATGGGGGATATGAGGGGAGAAAACTGGGGTGTTTCATTGAACGACTGGAGTGATCACGGGGGAGAGGGTCGCGCTGTTCATGGGAAAATGCTGTTCTTGAATAGTTTCTGATTGATGTTCCTTGGATGTACTGTACTCTCAGTTACGGGAGGTATTCCGCAGGACGGCCTTGTTGCAACTGTTTGTGGGTCTGTGGGCAGGTCTATTTGGCAGGGTATGGGTTCAGACATTACGACTGTAATTTCGAGGTGGATATTCCGGGTAGGCTTCGGACGTATTTCGGGCTTACTGACCCGAAACAAAATCACCCTGCACGAATAGCATAGTCCATCGCCGTATTACCTGACCCCATACCCACGATCCGGTCAAATGTAAATGATTCACATAAACCGTATTGTCCATTGTCAAAAACATATTGACCTCGGTACATTGACATGTCACATACAGTTTATACTAAATAGTTATAGGGTCGTTTTTTAACTTTAAAGACCTTAAAATAACAAAATAATAGACCCAAACCATTAATACAAATGGGGGGCAATTGACTATCTTGTTCATCGTGATTACGTAAAACCAAATAATTTCCATGCATAGAATAACCCATGAAACACATGCACAAACATTTTAAATATTGTATTTGTTATGACAGTAATACAAATTAATAAAGTCAATAGAATACAACCGTACTAACAGCAACGGGTGCATCTTTGTCATTAAACTTGACACTACGGAGTGAGTGATGGTTGTAATATTGCGACAGTTATCGTACAAATAAATGCCACTCGAGCGAACAGTTCCGTTTAAGATGCCCCGTGGAGTCAATCGCAGTTCCGATGCGTACCAAATGATATATCAGTCAGAATTGTGAATGTATTTAAGAGATGACTTGCCACGATGGATCATGATTAAGGGCAGACATCCCTTTAAACGTAACAACGAACAATTCAACTGATGAGGTGCACACTACGAGTGACACCAGACATGCACAAGGAGCGTTAAGGGCTGACACGAGGCTTTAAAAAATGACACTTTAATTACAGACGCATATTTTCACGTTTATCTAGATTATAACACTGAACAATACCATTTCTCCTGAAAGATAAGTTTTTCTGCACACATTCACGTCAGGATCAGTAAATACACATTGACTTTCTTGGAGATATGTACTGATAATTACGTAAGATGGGTTTGACTGCACGCATACATCACTTCGTAACCGGTACTACGTATAATACGTACACGATAAAAGAATACTATCGGGTCTTAAAATTAGGTATTATGTAATGTAAGATTGTCCCGACAGCGTGAACGCGTGTGCACACGTTGCTGGGAATTTAAACAATGCAATTGTATTGTTAATTGTCATGGGTGGTCGACCTTTTCTTCACTGAAGAGATATTTGTCACGTGGTAGTTGCCTTTCCGACAGTTTGCACGATATTACAGTTGAACTTCGTGGAAAGAATTTCTCGTGGGGACGCTCTCTTTAATAACCGACCCAAAACCAAGCGCGTTTAAGTTACAAACTCCAACAATTATAAAAATACATTACATAAATATGCGGTCTAAATAGTATGCTTATGAAATTAATCGTGGCATGATTTCATAAAGATATGTGTATGAAACACAATGTATACTGCTAAATATAGATATGTAAACAAAAACTTTTACAAATAAGGTACAGATACTCAAATGAAATATCAAATGTAAAAAACATATTTTATATAAATTGTATATGATTCAAAGTGTTACCATAGTAGGGCAGGGGCAAAAGCTACCGAAGATTGACCTCGTGTCAGGTGCTATTCGCCAGGTGAGACATCGACAGTAAAAACAAGCATATGTTGTACACTACTTACCTCTAACTGTGGGAATTGACAGGAGACATCCCAAAAGCGGAATGACTAAAATCCAGTATTGTTCCATAACGCACAATTAGTGTCCCGTGAACAAGAACATATCAGCACCTGAGCTCAATGTTTACAAAAAGTCCTCCAATACTATATAGATGCTCCACACAGTCGCACAGGCCTCGCTCAACTGACGCCTTGTCTATAACGTGAAGCGAAGTAAACGACTGTAGTGAGGCGTGGAGTGGCCTGAATTAGAAACCGTGTCAACCCTCTCTCTCTCACCCCAGCCATTCACCAGTCCATCTTTCCATCAGCATGGTCATCGGTTATTTGTCGACTGTGGTTAGAGATGGGAGCACACAAATTAAGTTAACAATCGGCACGGGTGTTGCACAGAGCCAATAGGAATGCGTGACTTCCCACTGTCCTTTGTTTAACTCACTCAGGAGACAGTGCTCTCACCAAATCACCGCGATATTTAATACAATATAAAGAATATATTCTGTTTTTTTTGTAAAGTTCTGATTTTATGATTATATTGTCCAATATATCTATATCTATATATTGTTACATATATTATATATTTATGAATAATTAAATATTTGGGCAATAACAGAGTAGTCTGATTGCTGAAAGAGTTTTCTGGTGTGACGTAATGCTGTGCTGTGGTGTGTCTGTGCCAGATTGTGCTGTTTTCTGTTTGTTTCGTGCTATGTTGTGTCATTGTGTTGTTTTGTGTTAGGTGGTGCTGTTGGTGTTGTCTCGTGCTTTGGTGAATTGCATCGAACTGTGTAGTGTGCCTATCTTAGCTTGTGTAGTGGGCCTATCTGAGCTTGTGCAGCGGGCCTATCTTAGCTTGTGTAGTGAGCCTATCTTAGCTTGTGTAGTGTGCCTATCTTAGCTTGTGTAGTGTGCCTATCTTAGCTTGTGTAGTGTGCCTATCTTAGCTTGTGTAGTGTGCCTATCTGAGCTTGTGTAGTGTGCCTATCTGAGCTTGTGTAGTGTGCCTATCTTAGCTTGTGTAGTGTGCCTATCTTAGCTTGTGTAGTGGGCCTATCTGAGCTTGTGTAGTGTGCCTATCTTAGCTTGTGTAGTGTGCCTATCTTAGCTTGTGTAGTGTGCCTATCTTAGCTTGTGTAGTGTGCCTATCTTAGCTTGTGTAGTGTGCCTATCTTAGCTTGTGTAGTGTGTCTATCTTAGCTTGTGTAGTGTGCCTATCTTAGCTTGTGAAGTGTGCCCATCTTAGCTTGTGTAGTGTATCTATCTTAGCTTGTGTAGTGTGCCTATCTTAGCTTGTGCAGTGGGCCTATCTTAGCTTGTGTAGTGTGTCTACCTTAGCTTGTGTAGTGTGCCTATCTTAGCTTGTGTAGTGTGCCTATCTTAGCTTGTGTAGTGTGCCTATCTTAGCTTGTGTAGTGGGCCTATCTTAGCTTGTGAGTGTGCCTATCTTAGCTTGTGTAGTGTGCCTATCTTAGCTTGTGTGGTGGCTTACCTTAGCTGGTGTAGTGTGTCTACCTTAGCTTGTGTAGTGTGCCTACCTTAGCTTGTGTAGTGGACATATCTTAGCTTGTGTAGTGGGCGTACCTTAGCTTGTGTAGTGGGCCTTTTCTTAGCTTGTGTAGTGGACATATCTTAGCTTGTTTAGTGGGCCTATCTTCATTTGGGAAGTGTACCTATCGTAACTTGTGTAGTGTGTCTATCTTAACTTGTGTAGTGTGTCTATCTTAGCTTGTGTAGTGTGTCTATCTTAGTCTGTGTAGTGTGTCTATCTTAGCTTGTGTAGTGTGTCTATCTTAGCTTGTGTAGTGTGTCTATCTTAGCTTGTGTAGTGTGCCTATCTTAGCTTGTGTGGTGGCCTACCTTAGCTTGTGGAGTGTGCCTACCTTAGCTTGTGTAGTGTGCCTATCTTAGCTTGTGTAGTGTGCGTACCTTAGCTTGTGTAGTGGGCGTACCTTAGCTTGTGTAGTGGGCCTTTTCTTAGCTTGTGTAGTGGACATATCTTAGCTTGTTTAGTGGGCATATCTTCATTTGGGAAGTGTACCTATCGTAACTTGTGTAGTGTGTCTATCTTAACTTGTGTAGTGTGCCTATCTTAGCTTGTGTAGTGGGCCTACCTTAGCTGTGTAGTGGGCCTATGTTAGCTTGTGTAATGGGCATATCTTAGCTTGTGTAGTGGGCATATCTTCATTTGTGAAGTGTACCTATCGTAACTTGTGAAGTGTACCTATCTTAGCTTGTGTAGTGTGCCTATCTTAGCTTGTGCTGTGTTCCTGTCTTAGGTTGTGTTGTTTGACTATCTTAGCTTGTGAAGTGTTCCTATCTTAGCTTGTGAAGTGTACCTATCTTAACTTTGTGTAGTAGGCTTTTCTTAGCTTGTCAAGTGTTCCTATCTTAGCTTGTGCTGTGTTGTGCCGTGTCGAGTCCTGTTGTGCTCTGTTGTTCTGTGACAATTTACGATTGTGTTGTGCTGTGGTTTTCGAGCTGCTTGGTGTCAGGTTGTGGTGCACTATTGTTCTTTGCTGTTGCAGGAATGAGGTGACACGATGTACTATGCTGTGATGTGATGTATTATGCTGTGATGTACTATGCTGTGCTATGCTGCCCAACTGTAGCATGATATGTTCAGGTGTATATGGTTATGTCGTACTTCGTTGTGCTCAGTTGTGTCAGATTGTTTCGGATGTGCTACGCTCAGATTTGACCGTTTGTGTTGTGTTCTGCTGTTGTCAGTTTGTGCTGTCTTGTGCTGTGCTGTCCTCAACAGTGACATTTTGTGTCGTGCTATATCTGTATCAGTCTGTGTTGTCTTGTATTGTGCTGCGTTGAACCGCGCCGCTATGTAATTCTTCGCTTTGTTTGTGCCTTTTTCATGAACGTACATTATACATCAACATACAATAGGGACGTGCAATATAATATACCACGTATTCACTGTGGTGTCGAGGACAACTTAGATCCACAGAACCCTGAGCTTGTCGAAAGAGTGAGTGGGTGAGTATAGTTTTACGCCGCTCTTAGCAATATTCCAGCAATATCACGACGGGGTATACCAGAAATGGGCTTCACATGTTGTGTAGTGTGCCTGTCTTAGCTCGTGTAGTGTGCCTATCTCAGTGTGTGTAGTGTGCCTATCTTAGTTTGTGTAGTGTATCTATCTTAGTTTGTGTAGTGTGCCTATGTTAGCTTGTGTAGTGTATCTATCTTAGCTTGTGTAGTGGGCCTATCTCAGTGTGTGTAGTGTGCCTATCTTAGTTTGTGTAGTGTGCCTATCTTAGTTTGTGTAGTGTGCCTATCTTAGTTTGTGTAGTGGGCCTATCTTAGCTCGTGTAGTGTGCCTATCTCAGTGTGTGTAGTGTGCCTATCTTAGTTTGTGTAGTGTGCCTATCTCAGTGTGTGTAGTGTGCCTATCTTAGCTTGTGTAGTGGGCCTATATTAGCTTGTGTAGTGTATCTATCTTAGCTTGTGTAGTGTGCCTATCGTAGTTTGTGTAGTGGGCCTATCTTAGTTTGTGTAGTGTGGCTATCTTAGCTTGTGTAGTGTGCCTATCTTAGCCTGTGTAGTGTGGCTATCTTAGCTTGTGCAGTGGGCCTATCTTACCTTATGTAATGTGCCTATCCTATTTCGTGTAGTGTGCCTATCTGTGTCAGCTGGTTTCGGATGTGCTACGCTCAGATGTGACCGTTTGTGTTGTGTTCTGCTGTTGTCAGTTTGTGCTGTGTTGTGCTGTCCTCAACAGTGACATTTTGTGTCGTGCTATATCTGTATCAGTCAGTGTTGTCTTGTATTCACGACGGGGGATATCGTCAAGTCACACAAGTTCGATCGACATGTAACTTCGATCGCCCGTTTTGAATGGTAATTGTCGCGATACGTAGCGATAACTTACGATATCTGCAGCTTCGATGTTCTGCTGACACCGCTTTCATTCGTTTGGACCGGAAAATGTATCGTGTTAAGTTACCAAACGTAAGTTATAGCTCATATTCAGCAAACAACTACTTTTTAACCCTAGATCAATAATGTAACTTTATCAGCTCCAATAAAATGTAAACAGTATTTATTTCACACGTTGTAAATTGACAGCACACCTGTCTTCTGCTTGTTTACGTTGCTGGTCTAAATGTCACATGACCAGACACGTGATATCCTTGTCAAAATTTAAAACTTTGGAAACAAGTAAGGGCCATTTCTTACAGAAAACGTAATGCTTTTTGAGAATTTCCGTCAATTTGTACCTGATGAGGTTCGAGCTATTGCCTCATTGATAAATACAACCTGGGCACAATGTACCCACCCTACATGTCAGCACAGAACACATTTACGTTTCTGCAAGCCAGTTCGTGGTGTTTGTCGACATTCTGAGGTTTGGTGCCCCTGTCACGATGAGCCTGAAGAATAACTCCCTGCATAATGCTTGTATGTAAGCTCATTATTTGTGACTTTTCATCGTTTTTAGAAGAATTAAAACATAAAATGAACGTTTCATGGACATAAATACCATAAAATTACTTGGGACTGCTGTAACTCTGAATCTGACACAAAAGATCGTCCATACAAGTCATCCTGATAAGCCAGCCAATCATATGATCGAACTTGTGTGACGTAGCTTTCTGAGTCACTTGTGTTGACAGTGAGAAGGCGGCCATGCCGCGATTGTGAAAAGCAGTAAAAATACCTGGATTTCGGAAATGTTTGATATAATAAACTGACTGACTGACTGACTGAGTTTGGTTTTACGCCGCTTTTAGCAATATTCCAGCAATATCACGGCGGGGGACACCAGAAATGGGCTTCACTCATTGTACCCATGTGGGGATTCGAACCCGGGTCTTCGGCGTGACGAGCCAACGCTTTAACCACTAGACTACCCCACCGCCCCTGATATAATAAACAAGTTTAGAGGTAAGAGATTTGAAAATAAGATTATATGAATATTACTTTGAAAATTCAGCGACAGTTTTTAAGTGGTCGAACTTACATTACACGAGGACAACAGAAATGGGCTTCACATGTTGTACCCACGTGGGGAATCGAACCCGGGATTTCGGCGTGACGAGCGAACGTTTTAACCACTAGGCTATCCCACCGCCCGCTTGTCGAAAGAACTGATTACCGAAGACCTATTGGTTTACACGGCTGCTCCTGTGTCACCTTGACCCAACATCATGGCCCGTTGCTCATGTCATCAACCACTCGTTTGCCTGACCAAGGTAGATGATTGGTATACTGTTAGTTAACTTGACATAATGTTGTGGGATCCTATCCGAACGCTGACTATGTATATGACAATATGTCGGACAGGAATGTTTAAGGTGGTCAACCTGTCAGCGACCTACAGCTACGTGAAGTATAGTTAACGGTCGGTGACCCACAAAC